GCTGGGTGGCAGTGTTTGTCGGGTGTGTGTGCTGGGTGGCAGTGTTTGTCGGGTGTGTGTGCTGGGTGGCAGTGTTTGTCGGGTGTGTGTGTGCTGGGTGGCAGTGTTTGTCGGGTGTGTGTGCTGGGTGGCAGTGTTTGTCGGGTGTGTGTGCTGGGTGGCAGTGTTTGTCGGGTGTGTGTGCTGGGTGGCAGCGTTTGTCGGGTGTGTGTTCCTTTTTGTGTGTGAAATTTGTACGTTTGTACTCTGTCATTGTGTACTGCCTTGTGTTATGTGTTTTCCATCATGTTTCCTGTTGGCACGCCCTGTACGGGTGGTACGGGTCATTGTTTATGTGTACTTTGTTCTACTTCCTGTGTAATGTTTCCTATGTTATTTACTGTTATGCTTCCTGTGTTATCGCTTATGTATCTCTTGGGTTTTCCCATTGATGGTGTATTGTTTAGTACGCAGGGTTTGTGTGTGCAGTGTGGCATGTATTATATTGTCAGTGCTATGTTCATGTGTGTGTGTTCTATGGTATGGTATCTACTGTTATGTGGTGTGTTCTATGGTATGGTGTCTACTGTTATGTGGTGTGTTCTATGGTATGGTGTCTACTGTTATGTGGTGTGTTCTATGGTATGGTGTCTACTGTTGTGTGTGTGTGTTCTATGGTATGGTGTCTACTGTTGTGTGGTGTGTTCTATGGTATGGTGTCTACTGTTGTGTGTGTGTTCTATGGTATGGTGTCTACTGTTGTGTGTGTGTGTTCTATGGTATGGTGTCTACTGTTGTGTGTGTGTTGTATGGTATGGTGTCTACTGTTGTGTGTGTGTTCTATGGTATGGTGTCTACTGTTGTGTGTGTGTTCTATGGTATGGTGTCTACTGTTGTGTGGTGTGTTCTATGGTATGCTGTCTACTGTTGTGTGTGTGTTTCTATGGTATGGTGTCTACTGTTGTGTGTGTGTTCTATGGTATGGTGTCTACTGTTGTGTGTGTGTGTTCTATGGTATGGTGTCTACTGTTGTGTGTGTGTGTTCTATGGTATGCTGTCTACTGTTGTGTGTGTGTTCTATGGTATGGTGTCTACTGTTGTGTGTGTGTTCTATGGTATGGTGTCTACTGTTGTGTGTGTGTGTTCTATGGTATGGTGTCTACTGTTGTGTGTGTGTTCTATGGTATGGTGTCTACTGTTGTGTGGTGTGTTCTATGGTATGGTGTCTACTGTTATGTGGTGTGTTCTATGGTATGGTGTCTACTGTTGTGTGTGTGTTCTATGGTATGGTGTCTACTGTTGTGTGGTGTGTTCTATGGTATGGTGTCTACTGTTGTGTGGTGTGTTCTATGGTATGGTGTCTACTGTTGTGTGGTGTGTTCTATGGTATGGTGTCTACTGTTGTGTGGTGTGTTCTATGGTATGGTGTCTACTGTTGTGTGGTGTGTTCTATGGTATGGTGTCTACTGTTGTGTGGTGTGTTCTATGGTATGGTGTCTACTGTTGTGTGTGTGTTCTATGGTATGGTGTCTACTGTTGTGTGTGTGTTCTATGGTATGCTGTCTACTGTTATGTGGTGTGTTCTATGGTATGGTGTCTACTGTTGTGTGGTGTGTTCTATGGTATGGTGTCTACTGTTGTGTGGTGTGTTCTATGGTATGGTGTCTACTGTTGTGTGTGTGTTCTATGGTATGGTGTCTACTGTTGTGTGTGTGTTCTATGGTATGGTGTCTACTGTTGTGTGGTGTGTTCTATGGTATGGTGTCTACTGTTGTGTGTGTGTTCTATGGTATGGTGTCTACTGTTGTGTGGTGTGTTCTATGGTATGGTGTCTACTGTTGTGTGTGTGTTCTATGGTATGGTGTCTACTGTTGTGTGTGTGTTCTATGGTATGGTGTCTACTGTTGTGTGTGTGTGTTCTATGGTATGGTGTCTACTGTTGTGTGGTGTGTTCTATGGTATGGTGTCTACTGTTGTGTGGTGTGTTCTATGGTATGGTGTCTACTGTTGTGTGGTGTGTTCTATGGAATGGTGTCTACTGTTGTGTGGTGTGTTCTATGGTATGGTGTCTACTGTTGTGTGGTGTGTTCTATGGTATGGTGTCTACTGTTGTGTGTGTGTTCTATGGTATGGTGTCTACTGTTGTGTGTGTGTTCTATGGTATGGTGTCTACTGTTGTGTGGTGTGTTCTATGGTATGGTGTCTACTGTTGTGTGGTGTGTTCTATGGTATGGTGTCTACTGTTGTGTGTGTTCTATGGTATGGTGTCTACTGTTGTGTGTGTGTGTTCTATGGTATGGTGTCTACTGTTGTGTGGTGTTCTATGGTATGGTGTGTGTCTACTGTTGTGTGGTGTGTTCTATGGTATGGTGTCTACTGTTGTGTGTGTGTTCTATGGTATGGTGTCTACTGTTGTGTGTGTGTGTCTATGGTATGGTGTCTACTGTTGTGTGTGTGTTCTATGGTATGGTGTCTACTGTTGTGTGGTGTGTTCTATGGTATGGTGTCTACTGTTGTGTGGTGTGTTCTATGGTATGGTGTCTACTGTTGTGTGTGTGTTCTATGGTATGGTGTCTACTGTTGTGTGTGTGTTCTATGGTATGGTGTCTACTGTTGTGTGTGTGTTCTATGGTATGGTGTCTACTGTTGTGTGTGTGTTCTATGGTATGGTGTCTACTGTTGTGTGTGTGTTCTATGGTATGGTGTCTACTGTTGTGTGGTGTGTTCTATGGTATGGTGTCTACTGTTGTGTGGTGTGTTCTATGGTATGGTGTCTACTGTTGTGTGGTGTGTTCTATGGTATGGTGTCTACTGTTGTGTGGTGTGTTCTATGGTATGGTGTCTACTGTTGTGTGGTGTGTTCTATGGTATGGTGTCTACTGTTGTGTGGTGTGTTCTATGGTATGGTGTCTACTGTTGTGTGTGGTGTGTTCTATGGTATGGTGTCTACTGTTGTGTGGTGTGTTCTATGGTATGGTGTCTACTGTTGTGTGGTGTGTTCTATGGTATGGTGTCTACTGTTGTGTGTGTGTTCTATGGTATGCTGTCTACTGTTGTGTGTGTGTTCTATGGTATGGTGTCTACTGTTGTGTGTGTGTTCTATGGTATGGTGTCTACTGTTGTGTGTGTGTTCTATGGTATGGTGTCTACTGTTGTGTGGTGTGTTCTATGGTATGGTGTCTACTGTTGTGTGTGTGTTCTATGGTATGGTGTCTACTGTTGTGTGTGTGTTCTATGGTATGGTGTCTACTGTTGTGTGTGTGTTCTATGGTATGGTGTCTACTGTTGTGTGTGTGTTCTATGGTATGGTGTCTACTGTTGTGTGGTGTGTTCTATGGTATGGTGTCTACTGTTCGAACTTGTCGCGCCTCGTCTGGGTGGTGCGGGGTTTCTTCTCGTGTGTTCTTGTGTAATTTTTTAATGTTCTGTTTATATTTTCACTTTTACGTTCTAGTGTTCTGTGCGCCATGTTCTCTGTGGGTATTGTTATTCTGCGTTTTCTGTGAAGTGTTATTCTGTGTGTTCTATGTTGACCTAGACCACATACTAGAAGGTGAAGGGACGACGACGTTTCGGTCCGTCCTGGACCATTCTCAAGTCGATTGTGAGAATGGTCCCTTCACCTTCTAGTGTGTGTGGTCTGGTCAACATACTTTAGCCACGTTATAGTGACTCGTCGCCTGCATCTGTGTGTTCTGTGTTATGGTCTTTGTTCATGTGCGGTCTGGACCTCACCGTCAGTTTTATTTGGTGCTTCGGTGCCGTCTTTCTTGTATGTTCTTTGTTTTACAAATAAAAGAAAAAAAAATATTGACCCACAAGTAACCAGAGCCAGCTTCCATTAAGCATTTGTGTTGCTATTTACGAAACCTGTACATCTATGGCGGCTTTGTTTACATATATTTTAAACACTTTGCGAGCTCTGAGGCGCTACAGGGTTGTTAATGACAATAACAACCTTGGGTTGTGACGTTCCCAAGCTCGTCAACTGTTTAACACAATCAAATAAAGGCGCCATGGTTAGGAAAAGATGCACAGGTTTCGTAATGGGTTGCGTCAGTGTTTGATGAATCGTGTGTGTGTGTGGGGGGGGGGGAGGGCTAGCCCCCCGCAGGTGTTTCAAGGTGTGGGGGGGGGCGCTTCATGATGAATTTTTGGGGCACTTCTAGCGCCCCAAATCATCATATGACGCTGTTTATGTCGCCTTCTGAATGCACCCGAAGTAACGCGAGGTAAGGGAATATATACAAGAGTTGTTACATTCTTGTACAGCCACTAGTACGCGTAGCATATCCTGGCACGATCCCCTGTGGTTAGTTGTGCTACAGTTGCTGAGCAACCCATGACTCCAGAGACGAGAGACTATAGAGTGGTTAGTGTGATCCCATCCCAGCCATTGTTATAATGTTTTAGTCGCCAGTTGTCTAATACAAGCGCGCGCGCGCGCGTGTGTGTGTATATTTACTATTTGTATTTAATATTTGTGTCTGCAGTATCGAGCTATTAGCTCTTGGACCACGTCTTTCTAATCAATTTGTTTTTTTTTTCTCAATTATATCTATTACATATATTTCTGACACACACACACACACACACACACACACACACACACACACACACACACACACACACACACACACACACACACACACACACACACATCCCCAGGAAGCAGCCCGTAACAGCTGTCTAACTCCCAGGTACCTATTTATTGCTAGATGAACAGGAGTATCAGAGTGAAAGAAACTCTTCCCATTTGTTTCTGCCTCGGCCGGGGGATCGAACCCTAGCCCTTAAGACTACGACCCCCGAGCTCTGTCCACTCAGCCGCGAGGGCCCCCCCCCCCCTGTGTGTATGTGTGTGTGTGTGTACTCACCTATTTGTGCTTGCGGGGGTTGAACTTTGTCTCTTTGGTCCCGCCTCTCAATGTGTGTGTGTTTACTCACCTATTTGTGCCTGCAGGATCGAGGTATTAGCTCTTGGACCCCGCCTTTCTAACCCATGTAGACACGTGTGTGGTATGTCTGTACACCCGCTCCTCTCTCTCCCCTCTCCAGGGTACGGAGCCGCAGCGCCCAAGACTCAGGCCGGTAAAATCTTCTGCGTCCTATACGGCCTCATCGGATGCTCATCCGGAATCCTCTTCTTCAACCTCTTCCTCGAGCGGATCATCACCCTTCTGGCCTACATCATGAGGTCAGTGGCCAGCCTGAGTTATAGCCCCTGAGGTTGACCTCGGGAGGAGTCATGGAGTCTTAGAAACTCAACAAAATGTCTTAGAAATCTCCTGGAACAACCCTCCGTCTCTCCCACAGGGCGCGCCACGAGCGCAAGGAGCGCAAGAAGGCGGAGGCTGCGGCCAAGAAGGGGTTGGTAACGAGCCAACGACGCGCGTCGACGAACTCCATCGACGACGAGTCGGACCTGGACGCTTGGAAGCCGTCGGTGTACTGGGTCATGTTCTACCTCACCGTCTCCTCCATCGTGGTGGCCTTCCTCGGCGCCGTCATGTTCATGGAGGTCAGTCGAGGCTTGAGCCAGGGCCAGCAGGGACTGTTGTGCTGTGGGAGTTAGCGTGCCACCTCTCATGCTAACCCCCCACAGCACATGCAATCTCTGCGCTTGTGGGCTGATGTGGGAGTTTCAGGGGGGGGGGGCTATACTTATTTTTATTTTATATCTGTCTCTTTGTGTTTCTGTCTGTCTGTCTCTCTGTTTCTCTCTCTCTCTCTATCTCTCTCTCTCTCTCTCTCTCTCTCTCTCTCTCTCTCTCTCTGTGGATAGCCTGTGACAGAGAGACTCACCTGAACACAATTACCTGCCTTTACAACAATAAAAATAAATTTAAAAACGCTACCAACATTTGCAACAACGACAACAACGACAGCAACAACAACAACAACAATATCAACATATGCAACAACGACAACAACAACAACAATATCAACAACAACAACGACAACAACAACAATATCAACATATACAACAACAACAATATCAACATATGCAACAACGACCACAACAATATCAACGACAACAACGACAACAACAACAACAACAACAACACAACAATATACAACAACAACAACAACAACAACAACAACAATATACAACAACAACAACAACAACAATATACAACAACAACAACAACAACAACAACAATATCAACAACAACAACAACAACAACAACAATATACAACAACAACAACAACAACAACAATATACAACAACAACAACAACAACAACAACAACAACACAACAATATCAACAACAACAACAACAACAACAACAACGACAACAACAACAACAACAACAACAACAATATCAACAACACCAACAACAACAACGACAACAAACAACAACAACATCAACAATATCACAACAACAACAACAACAACAACAACAATATCAACAACAACAACAACAACAACAACAACAACAACACAACACAACGACAACAACAACAACAACGACAACAACAACAACAACAACAACAACAATATCAACAACAACAACAACAACAACAACAACAATAGTCAACAACAACAACAACAACAACAACAACAACAACAACAACCCACAACAACAACAACAACAACAACAACAATATCAACAACAACAACAACAACAACGACAACAACAACAACAACAACAACAACAATATCAACAACAACAACAACAACAACAACAACAACAATATCAACAACAACAACAACAACAACAACAACAACAACAACAACAACAACAACAACAACAACAACAATATCAACAACAACAACGACAACAACGACAACAACAACAACAACAACAATATCAACAACAACAACAACAACAACAACAACAACAACAACAACAACAACAACAACGACAACAACAACAACAACAACAACAACAATATCAACATATACAACAACAACACAAGCTAACTCATCGATGACTCAACAACTCATAGCTAACTCACCAGCTGTTATGACGTCTAACTACCAATTAGTGTCTTGCGTATAAGTGACCTCAAGTGATTATCTTGAACACGGCCCAAGAGAGGATTAATCCACTAATCCACAGAGTCATAAGTACCAATAGAGGATTAATCCCCCATTGTGACATGGACCAAAAGAGGATTATAATCCATAGAGTAGTGAGGACCGAGGGATAGTTAATCCATCGTGTCCTGAGTGCTCGGGATTAATGATATTGATAATGGTCACCTTTCCAGGCGCTGGCCAGCATGACGCATGATCAACATTGCTGGAGATCAATACATTAGGGACCTCATGTAATGTATTGTATTGTACTGTAATTTATTGTATTCTGCAATACGAACCGGGTGGGTTGAGACAGGTGTACTCACCTCGTTGTGCTTGCGGGGGTTGAGCTCTAGCTCTTTGGTCCCGCCTCTCAACTGTCAATCAACTGGTGTACAGATTCCTGAGCCTACTGGGCTCTATCATGTCTGCATTTGAAACTGTGTATGGAGTCAGCCTCCTCCACATCACTGCCTAATGCATTCCTCCTGTTAACTACTCTGACACTGAAAAAGTTATTTCTAACGTCCCTATGGCTCATGTGAGTACTCAGTCTCCACCTGTGTCCCCTTGTTCGCGTACCACCCGTGTTAAAAAAATCCATCCTTGTCTTCCCTGTCAATTCCCCTGATAACTTTTTAAGTAGTGATCATTTCTCCCCGAGCTCTTCTTTCTTCCAGCGACGTGAGGTACATTTCACGCAGTCTTTCCTCATAACTCATGCCTCTTAGTTCTGGGACTAGCCTAGTGGCATACCTCTGAACTTTTTCAAGCTTCGTCTTGTGCTTGACAAGGTACGGGCTCCATGCTGGGGCCGCATACTCCAGGATTGGTCTGACATATGTGGTGTACAAGATTCTGAACGATTCCTTACACAGGTTTCTTAAGGCTGTTCTGGGTTGGTACAAGTGTGGGTTGGGACAGATGAGGGTTCAGACAGGTGTGGGTTCAGACAGGTGTGGGTTCAGACAGGTGTGGGTTGGGGCAGATGAGGGTTCAGACAGGTGTGGGTTGGGACAGGTGTAGGTTGGGACAGGTATGAGTTGAGACAGGTGTACGAGCAGGTGTAGGTTGAGACAGGTGTGGGTGGACCTATTGTTAACACACCTCCCTCCTCCCACAGATCGAGGAGTGGAACTACATTGACTCCCTGTACTTCTGCTTCGTGTCCTTCGCTACTATCGGCTTCGGCGACATGGTCTCCGCACAGGTAGGTCACGAGACGGTAGTGGACAGTCTCTGTCTGCTCCAGGAGAGACAGGTGACGGCTGTTGACCTTCTCTAGTCACCAACCAGGCATGATAAGTAACAAGCGTGATATACAGTCATCCCTGGTTGTGTATGTAGGGGGACCCTTAACCTCGGAGAAGGTGATATGTAGCATGCGACGAAAATGGTATTAAATCTTACGTAGTTGCGTGTTGGGTTTCAGGAACCGAACGCGTTCTACGGGAGCGGGCTGTACGCCTACCGCTTCTTTAACTTCGTCGTGTTGGTGGTGGGATGCTGCTGCATCTACTCTCTCTTCAACGTTATCTCCATCATTGTCAAGCAGTTCCTTAACTTTATTATCAAGGTGAGGTGTGGGGGGGGGGTCTGGGGGAGGTGGGAGGGGGAGGGGTGCCTGCTGAATTGTTTAATTATGTCTATGATGTCTTTTTCTGCAGGCGATAAGTCACAATAACGAGGCTGAGGAATGTTGACCAGACCACACACACTAGAAGGTGAAGGGACGACGACGTTTCGGTCCGTCCTGGACCATTCTCAAGTCGATTCGACTTGAAAATGGTCCAGGACGGACCGAAACGTCGTCGTCCCTTTACCTTCGAGTGTGTGGTCTGGTCAACATGTCTTATTCTCTCTTGCTCTGTCTCCTTGATGTCTCCATCATTGTCTTCTCTCTCTCTCTCTCTCTCTCTCTCTCTCTCTCTCTCTCTCTCTCTCTCTCTCAATCTCTCTCTCTCTCTCTCTCTCTCCTCTCTCTCTGTCACTAATATAAGAGATCTTTTATTGATTTTTGTCTCTGATTTCATGACAAGAAGTGTGATCTTGTAGATGATGTAAGAAGTAAAAGAAACAGCAGAAGGCCTAATGGCCTAGTTCAGGCAGTTTGACCCATGCGAGGCATGAAGCATCATGCGTCGCATGATGGACCCATATTGGTCCATCATGCGAGGCAGATGCTATTTACACCCACCTAACCTCATTATCCGACTTGTCTAACCTTCGCTTGAAACACTCCACTGATCTCCCCCTCATCTGTTATGTTCATCTCAACTACCGCTCAAGTTAATATCTGTTCCTCGTTCACATACATGTTCTCGACCGAACTTTTTATTTTTTCCCCTTTATTTAGATTAAGTACTACTTTATTCAGGAGGCCTTATTGTATTTATTATTGTATTTAGTATGTATATTGTATTGCATGTATTATTGTATTTAGAAGTACACATAACGTACATATGTACACGTCTTTGTAAAACATAGCGTCGTGGGTGTCAGGTCTGGAAACACAAACCGAAACTGTCTCTATTTTCCGCTTGTTACAACGTGTAATAAAGTTGTTACATTTTGGCTTAACGTGTTTATGACGTATTAGAACGCTGTTACAACTTGCTATATTGGTTGTTATAACTGGTTAGGAGGTGTTAAAACTTGCTCGAACGTTGTACCAACGTCGTAGTTTCGGTGTGTGTTTGGCGGGAGGTCAGTCACTACGACCATCCCCGTGGCCTGATTGATAGAGCAGAGACATAACTGCATCTTGCAGGGTCGGCGTTCAATCCCCTACGGTCCAAGAGGTTGTGAGCACCATTCCCTCACCCCCCTCTGCCTTCATGCCCGGAGAATCGAACGCGGACCTGTCCCAACTGTCTCGAACCTCCAGATCCCTTAAGTTCAAAATCTCCGATGATCCAAGTGAAAAATCTTAAGAACTCTCCTGTCCTTTCCGACAGAAAACTGCGGCGTGTTACGACGGGGAAGACGGGATGCCCACACCTCGCAGGAACGTCATCTCCCCGTCGGCCGGACAGAAGCAGCCCATCAAGCGTCTGGACAAAGACATGGTCGCTGTCTACCGGTCAGAAGGCGAGAGGAAGTTGTCCGGGGAGATGGTCTCCATGCGGGAGTACATCTCCACCAACAAGGTGAGTACATTAGTACATTGTACATGATCTATTGGTCCATACGAGGCAGCTCCTGTTGGTCCATACGAGGCAGCTCCTATTGGTCCATACGAGGCAGCTCCTATTGGTCCATACGAGGCAGCTCCTATTGGTCCATACGAGGCAGCTCCTATTGGTCCATACGAGGCAGCTCCTATTGGTCCATACGAGGCAGCTCCTATTGGTCCATACGAGGCAGCTCCTGTTGGTCCATACGAGGCAGCTCCTATTGGTCCATACGAGGCAGCTCCTATTGGTCCATACGAGGCAGCTCCTATTGGTCCATACGAGGCAGCTCCTGTTGGTCCATACGAGGCAGCTCCTGTTGGTCCATACGAGCAGCTCCTATTGGTCCTACGAGGCAGCTCCTATTGTCCATACGAGGCAGCTCCTATTGGTCCATACGAGGCAGCTCCTATTGGTCCATACGAGGCAGTTTCTATTATTTACTTTCACATTCACTCATATTTATATTGGTGTATACTGGCAGCAGGTTTTCTTTCAAACATGTTTCATTGAATATGACCGCATATTCTGTATTTATTATTTTCTGGTTTAGGGCATCTATCCCTCTAACTATTTTCTTAGCATCAGGGCTTAATTGGATAGGAGTTCTCCAAAACTCATTTTCGTACTTTTAAGGTGAAGAAAAGAAGTGATTTACTATAGAGTGTATTACACTTATTTGTATAATTTGCACGACGTTTCGAACCTCCATGGTTCATTCTCAAGTGAACAGATCTTACAATACTAGTTGATTTTATACCCGCATTAGAGTCAGGTGATAATACAAGGTGATATGTATTATCACCTGACCTAATGCGGGTATAAAATCAACTAGTATTGTAAGATCTGTTCACTTGAGAATGAACCAGGAGGTTCGAAACGTCGTGCAAATTATACAAATAAGTGTAATACACTCTATAGTAAATCACTTCTTTTCTTCACCTTAAAAGTACGAAAATGAGTTTGGGAGAACTCCTATTTCAATTAAGAAAATAGTTAGAGGGATAGAAGCCCTAAACCAGAAATAATAAATACAGAATATGGCGGTCATATTCATGATGAATCTCTATATATATATATATATATATATATATATATATATATATAATATATATAGATTTATTTATATTTTTTTTTTTTTTTTTTTTTTTTTTTTTTTTTTTTTTTTTTTTTTTTTTTTTTTTTTTTTTTATACAATAGGGAAGTGAGTACCACACCTCTGGCTGGAAGAAGGGGGACCCATAGCCTCGGAGGAAACCACACATAACGCATTGGAGGGAATGTGGGTCCCCTCCAATACAGTTTCTGTGTGCTTTTTCCTCCTACCACCCCCTTCCCTTTTTTCTTTTTTGGTTTTTTTTTCCTTTATTGTGTATTTAAAGGTTACAAAACATACAAGACAAATGCCTAAAGGTTATGGATCTCTTGAAGCTCCTCCGCTTCTGGACAGGAACCGAGGACGCAGCCAAGCATTTCCCCTCTGGATCGCCACACTGAGACGCTGAAATAAAAAAAAAAAAATATATATATATATATATATTATATATATATATATATATATATATATATATATATATATATATAAATATGTCTAGCCTACGCTTGAAACAGTCCAGCGACACAGAAGATTTAGACAACAGAGTCTAGACAAAGTGTGGAAGATCAGTACCGGAATATTTCAAGCTTAAGAGATAAAAATAGCGTTGTATTGTGAAGGTGATCAATCAGTCCATCAATCTAAGACTTTGTTCGTGTATAGTTGGGAAAGTCTCCATTAAGAGTGATGACCAGATGGCTTGTTTGTGATGGCTTGCTTGTCAAAGGACGAATTGGGTAGTTGGGTAGTTTACATCACTGTATGAAGGGGGAGGGGGGAGGGTGTGGAAGAGGGAGTGTGGGAAGGGAGTGTAAAGAGGAGTCCCCTCCCGTAAGACTGTGGGAGGGGTGACTGTGGGAGGGAGTGACTGTGGGAGGGGTGACTGTGGGAGGGAGTCACTGTGGGAGGGGTTACTGTGGGAGGGGTGACTGTGGGAGGGGTCACTGACAAAGATAATAAATTAAAATAGTTTTTCAATAAGTCAAAAAATTGCAGATGATGAGTCACAATAACGGGGCTGATGATATATGAAGATTTGATATATAACTTTTTTTTTAGTTGTTCACATTTAAGACCAATAATACTAATAATAATTAAAACAACAATTAATAATTTTTGTTTAATATTGGTAAAAATTTTAATGATTTTAATAATTTTATTTATATATTTTTATTGACCAAACTACACAGCGTAAGATGAGGAAATGAAGTTTCTTCATCTCCAGATATGTAGTTTGGTCAATAAATAAAATTATTAAAACCATTAAAAATTTTACCAATGATAAACAGAAATTAATAATTGATGTTTTAATTATTATTATTATTATTATTGATCTTAAATGTGAGCAACTAACAATAATAGTCATATATAAAACAGCGATAAATGATAAATTGATAAACACTGAATTAAATTATTCATGTATAGAGATTCACTAAAGCTGAAAGCCTGAGTACAGTCACAGGCGTGAATAGTTAAGTAAATCAATTTGTGACTGGGGGGCGCGCGCGCGCACGCACGCACACACACACTCGTAGGGGCCTCGTAGCCTGGTGGATAGCGCGCAGGACTCGTAATTCTGTGGCGCGGGTTCGATTCCCGCACGAGGCAAAAACAAATGGGCAAAGTTTCTTTTACCCTAAGTGCCCCTGTTACCTAGCAGTAAATAGGTACCTGGGAGTTAGTCAGCTGTCACGGGGTGCTTCCTGGGGTGTGTGTGTGTGGTGTGGGAAAAAAAAAGTAGTTTAGTAAACAGTTGATTGACAGTTGAGAGGCGGGCCGAAAGAGCAAAGCTCAACCCCCGCAAAAACACAACTAGTAAACACAACACACACACACACACACACACACACACACACACACACACACACACACACACACACACACACACACACACACAACACACCATAACAAACGCAGTGTTTCCACAGAGCTACTATGTAGTGAGGAGGAAGACAGAAGAGTTAGGGGGGACATGATCACCACATTCAAGATTCTCAAGGGAATCGACAGGGTTGATAAAGACAGGCTATTTAACACAAGGGCACACGCACTAGGGGACACAGGTGGAAACTGAGTGCCCAAATGAGCCACAGAGATATTAGAAAGAACTTTTTTAGTGTCAGAGTAGTTGACAAATGGAATGCATTAGGCAGTGATGTGGTGGAGGCTGACTCCATACACAGTTTCAAGTGTAGATATGATAGAGCCCAATAGGCTCAGGAACCTGTACACCTGTTGATTGACGGTTGAGAGGCGGGACCAAAGAGCCAGAGCTCACCCCCGCAAGCACAACTAGGTGAGTACAACTAGGTGAGTACACACACACACACACACACACACACACATCCCCCCCCATCCCCTGTCAGCCCCCCACTAAGTAACCCACCTAGGGCACCCTCCCCCAATCACCCCACTCCCCAGGACCTCCCTTCTTCCCATACCCCAAGCCCTCCCTTCTCCCACATGCCCAACCCTCCCCCACTCCACCCCCCCCCCCAACCCTCCCCCTCTCACTCTCCCCCCCATACCCGCCCCCTCTCATCCACCCCCACTACCCACCCCCTCCCCCCCACCTCCCCCTCACTCTCCCCCCATTACCCGCCCCCTCTCATCCACCCAACCCTACCCACCCCTCTCCCCCCCAACCCTCCCCCTCTCCCCCCAACCCTCCCCCTCTCCCCCCACCCCCCCTCCCCCTCCCCCTCCTCCCCCTACCCTCCCCTCCCCCCCCAAGCCCTTCCTCCTCCACCAGTCTCCCCGTACCAGATCCTCCCAGCTCCCGCTCACCCCTGACCCCACAGGTCCCCCCCAAGAGGAGAAGCAGAAGAGAGTCAGTTTCAGGGCAATGTACTCGAACATAGATGGGATCGCAAGGCAAGTGAACTAAGAGAAAGAGCACAATAAGTGAACCCAGATGTAATCGGACTCACTGAAACAAAACTCTCAGGAATCATAACGAATGCCGTGTTTCCCCAGGAGTACACAGTAATAAGGAAAGAGAGGGAAGGTAGGGGAGGAGGCGGAGTGGCCCTACTCATGAGAAAGGAATGGAGTTTTAAGGAGATGGCTATCCCGGGCTGTGAGGGTTTCAGAGACTACATAGCAGGCACCATGACAATGGGAAGACCAAGGATAGTAGTAGCAGTAATATACAACCCTCTAATAAATGACGGAAGACCCAGTCAAGAGTATGAAAACAAGAACATGACAGTTAACGCTATAATTGAGAGAGCAGCCTCTGCTGCCTGTAGAAATAGATCCCACCTGCTAGTTAAAAAGGCGGGATCCAAGAGCTAACACCTCGGTTCTGCAGACACAAATAGTAAATACACACACTCCAGAACATAATTAACACCAGCCGAGGCTCCTCGCGACAGACAAACTCCTTTCAAACCTTTGACAAGGAAGGCGAGGCTTGAAGAGTCGACATTGACGCTTCCTGTCATGTTTGATGACGACACTCCCCGTCAATCACCCGGCTCACAGGAGTTGAGATGATGAGAGAGAGAGAGAGAGAGAGAGAGAGAGAGAGAGAGAGAGAGAGAGAGAGAGAGAGGAGAGAGAGATGATGGAGAGAGAGGGAGAGAGGAGAGAGAGGAGAGAGCGAGAGAGAGAGGAGAGAGAGATGAGAGAGAGATGAGAGAGAGAGAGAGAGAGAGAGAGATGAGAGAGAGAGAGAGAGAGAGAGAGAGAGAGAGAGAGGAGAGAGAGAGAGAGAGAGAGAGAGAGAGAGAGAGAGAGAGAGAGAGGCAGACAGACAGAAACCAAAGAGAGAGACAGAGACAAAGAGAGACATACACACACACTCAGAGACAAAGTTTAAAAAATATATATCTAATGAATAATTCAGCTTTTAATCAAGGGACCGGTCTAATTCCCC